GCCGACAGCGGCTGGACGTGGGCGACACAAGATCCGGAGAGTTGGCATGCTCAAGATGAGGCTTATGTCCTGCAGTGGATGCGTGTAAACTGACGATGATCCACCCACTGCTGACTGTAGCTTTCTTCTAATGTACGCTTCTTCTTATTCTTTTAAATGTTATGGCTTCATCGAAATAATCAATGATTTTGCCAATGTCAAGTAAAAATAACTATGTACGGTAGTTTAATATTATTATAAAAATTATACAAAAAAAATGGCGTTTTCGCCAATGTCCTGTGAAAATAGGGGATAATATTCTCACAGGACATTGGCGAAATGTACGCTATTCCTTCCTTCAACTTCAACTTCAACTTTTGTGTCTATGGCTCCGTCGTTTTGCGCGACGATTTTGCCAATGTCAGGGTTGAAAGAGATGTGGAGCGGTGGTGAGATAGATTGCCGGTTATTAAAATACTTCGGCGGTTTTTATTCACAATGACGGTTATATATATATTTTAATGACATTACAAAAATATAATTTGAGAGCTCATGTTATTTTCTTTCCAATTCCTTCCTCGTCCAATTTTTCCCCACCATTTACACATTTCAGTGTCAAAATGTGTCAAACTACTTGAAAACTTTTTTTTATAATACTAAGTCACGGGACTCGTAAAAAGACTGTTGCACTGCTGTTATTGATAAGAAAATATAGGAAAAAAATACAAAGAAGATTAACATCGCAGGAATGCGCCATGCGGAGCAATTCGCCAATTCTTGCGATGCGTCCTGCTAGCTCGTAGATTTCTGCGATGGGACGCCGCATCGTAGTTTTGTGTTTCCATAACAGTTGTACTGCCACTCACAGCTTTAAATCGCAAAGATCTTAGGGGCACTGCCATTGCACCCATCACCCTGAGTCTAAGTTGACAAGTTCCATGTGCTAGTAATTTCACCAGTACCCTTACCCTTCCAAACCGGTACAATTTGGCGACAGAAATAGGTAAGGTGGCAGTACTTCCCTGGACGAACTCTTTCACAAGGAGCTCTATTGCTACGAGTAGCAATATCTTCCGATAATCGTGAAAGAAAACTAACATGTCGAAGAAGATTAATAGTCCTTGGAAAAGAATGTCCTCAACCCACTTCGGACCAGGATTATGGAAAGGAGACCTGTACCTTGTAATGGAACGTTTATCAACTCTTCTTCTTCCTGTCCTTATCCCACGCTAGGTGAGGTCGGCACAGCATGTATTTTTCTTCCCCTATCAGCCGTCATTTTTATACCCACACCCATAGATATAGAATTCTATATCTATGCTCACACCTTTCTTATTCATGTCATCTTTTACACAACCCATCCGTCTTTTCTTTGGCCTTCCTTTCCCTGTAGATTCCTCCACATTCATAGCTAACATTCCTCTCGTCACGTGACATTCTTCCCTCCGCATGACATGTCCATACCACGCTAACCTATTACTCCTCATCTTTTCCGTCACTATCTATCTTCAATTCTCCAGGATTACCACTTCGACCGAAGTTACCAAAATTGACACGGGACCAAACCGAGCCTACCTGCGTGGACCTTTTTTTTATAGCGAATATATAGCCGCTATTATTTTGTCGTAAAATATTTATCATCGGGAACATTATTTTGATTAGCGCAGATAGATTTTTTGTTCAAACAATTGGTCATTATTAGTGGAATTTACAATGACCAATGTAGAGAACGCATAAATAGTTACCTAAAGTCTCATAATGGGCATTACAATCCGGCAGAGTAGTTGATTTTAGTAGCAGTAGACCTTGTGAAAGAGTTTGTCCAGAGACGTACTGCCATACCATTTCAGTCGCCACGCAACAATGTAAGCATTACTTCGTTCCAGTTTGGAAGGATAAGGGTACTGCTGATATTACAGGTACATGGGACTTGTCAACTTATGTCTCAGGGTGACGGGGGCGTGCCCCTAAGATTTTTGCGATTCAAAGCTCTGTTGTTGCTTACCACCAGACACGACACACTATAGTGTTGTAAAAAACTCGAGTCCAGGACTGTACATTTATTATTTCGACTCAATTTTGCACGGCTCGGTGGCCTAAAATACTCACGAGTCCGAGTCAAGTCGAGCGCGAGTCATCGGAGCACAAACTCGAATCGTAATTCGAGTTTGAACAAAACTCGAATTCGAAAACTCGACTCAAAGCGACTTCCTCACTACAAAGTCGCGAGGACAACAAGCAATTCCTAGGAATGAAAAACAAAAACTCAATTTGGTGATTTATAAAAGAAAGAACCACCATAACACCATTCAGTAGGTACTTACCAGACTCAAGATCGACTCTTTACAAAAACTGAGTCGAACTGGAGCACGGCTCATTATATAAATAGACTCAAGCATTAATGTTCAACTCGATTCTATTTGGAAGCTCGATAGGCTCGTAATACATCGCGGAGTTGTGTCTCTGTCTTTATGAGTCGAGTCTTAAAATATAGACTCCCGGACTCGAGTTTTTTACAATACTAACTCACTACCCAGCAGTGGATAACACAGGACTGAAAATGGTGATGATAGACAAGGTGATAATATATTAGAAAGAACGAACAGTGTCTCTACCACGAGTTTACGGTGACAGTTGCCGCTTGCGACCGCATAAATTACCTACTTCACAATGTTGTATGGCAAATTCTACAGCGCCCCTAGCGGTCACAAGATGAAACAACATTTTGTATTTTAAGAATTTTAGCCTTAAATGAAAAATTGTCACTGTAATCTCATGCTAGAAGTTCATAAGTAAAGTGCTAGAGGCCCTGATCGCTGGCGTCGAGAACAAACAGACTATACTCTAAGCTCATCTTAGGATGGAAAAAGCGCATGCGGGCAAATGTCACCACCACCGCGCCGCAGTCGCTCGCTGTCCAGATTATAAATTAAATCTTCTTTTTTAAAGTGCTAATTTTTATATAGTTTCAAATCTATAGTTTATATCTACAGTTTAACTGCCTCTGTGGCCGAAGGGTTACCATGCCGGACTGCCACGCAGAGGTCCCAGGTACGATTCCCGGGCCGGGAGAAATATTTGTATGAGTTACATTTATTTCTCTCGTGAGTTTGGGTGTGATTTGTGGTTGTCTATGTGTGTGTTCATGGTACCCGTGATACAGGCTTTCCTTAGTGCCTATTTTGGGTGTGTGTGTTAAAAAAACTAATAATTAAAACGTGACGGGCAAATGTCAATTTATAATCAATGAATTCTCAACATTGCCCTACATACAAATAGACGTCGGGTCTAAAATCACGAAAAAATGTGCGAAGTTAACCTATACAAACGTGTGTGTGACATGTATGAAATATAAAAAAAAAAACTAAAACATTTAATTTAAATTGTAACGTCATTGCAGTACTGCCTAATTTTGCTTGCAGCAATTTAAGGGCTCAAAAGCACCATATTCAGCTTCTACTGGAAACTTAACAAAATGCACCATATTCAGCTTCGACTGAAAATTATTTGAACACAAGAGTAATGGAGCAACCTTTATTGTAAATATTAATTACCTTTTATATATATTATTATGTCCAATTTTTTACAAATTCACTTAAAGAAATAATAAAGAGTTGGGCAGATACATACATACAAATATTACAAATGTGAAAATAAGTGTGTAGTATAAGAAATGTACCGATATTCCAACTAAACGTAAACTGAAATATCCGTAATACCGAAAACCGATTTATAATAAAACCGTTAAAGACCATGGAAACCAAAAGACATGTTGTACTGACATATATAAATCAGACGTTATATATATATGATGCATTTAGACGTTGAAAACATTTTATTGTTTTTGTTTAACACTGCGTGCCGTCGTTATCCAAAAGAGATAGCACCACATTAATTTATGTCAAACACGGGAATCGAAAATACGTACCGTCATCTTAAATGCCAACTGTATTGATTTTGCCATTTTTGTAGTATCCTTTAATAACCGTATATGGTTGTCAAAGGGAAGGGAAGTACATCAAATGTCAAAACCAATGTTTCGCTAAAGGTTTTAGTGAACTATTCGCATGAATTGTAATGAAATGGACAAAAATTTTGACAGTGAGAACAATTAGGTATTGATAAAAATGTGTCACTGCAGCATTAAGGGGTGCGGCAGTAGCAAAAGCGGAAATCAACCGAATGTTACATTAGAGTGGCATGTGTTATTTTTCTGTCTATAAATCATACAATTTTGCTTTGGTTACTGCAGATTGTCTGTTTCTTAGTATTATTTATTTTTATGATTGTTCATAATGATTATTTTGAGATAGTGTTGTTCTTGTAAGCATACATATTATCGATATCGATGCCTTACTTTCTCAAACTCGTATCTTATAAAAACAAAAAACTTTCTATTTATTTTAAATATTATCAAGGGTGTTTTTGCTGCTGTGATTTTGCTACAGCTTTGGTAAAAATACAAAGATTTGACGGAAAGTATGAAACAATGCGGGCATTCATCGATCAAGGGTCTCAAGGGCCTCCATAATCACTAACAAGGCAAAAAACAAAGACAAAAGTCAACCTTGCAAGTGGCAGAAACCTTAGAGGAGGGAAACAAAATAAAAGAGAATCTCTAAGACTAGACAGGAACAATAGAAAAGAATATATTTGGCCTCTTGGTTTTAACCTTAGAGGTGGAAAAAAAATAAAGGAACTTTTAACCTTAGAGGATGGAAAAAAAAGGTTTACATAGTCTAAGGTTTTAACTTGGTTTTAACAAAGATTATTATCCTCTTTAAATTATGTCAATAAGTTTCTCTGTATACTCTGTGGACCTCTGTGGCTTGACAACATGACAACAATACGATTTGATCAAGGTCTTTGATGATGATACGCAACATAATCGATATTATTTTTAAAATTAATACTCTTCCTTAACTTACCGGAAATAATCCGCAAGTGGTGACCAACAGGCTATTTCGAGAACAGGTGACTAGATTAAACGTGGTAGTTACAATATTGATAAAGTTATTATCATGTCAAAAAACGAAGAAAATGATTTAACCCAGGATTCAGATAAAATACCAAATGATACTAGTGGAAATAGAAATCTTGAAGAACAGGACAATGTTAATAATGAACATACAGCAAGTGATAACAAAGAATCACCCTACACACATTCTGCGGCTGAAACAGATGGTCCGTCTTTACCACAACGATCACCATCTATGACATATGAGGACATGTTCGACTTAACTGGTGAGTGCGGTCTAGAAAAAGTCTAACATAAGCCACATATGTTCACAATAATCAATGCATACAGGAATAAGTGTACATATTTGTTTTAAAAATACCCACAATCCTCAACACGGTTTTAATATATCTACTATAATGTTGGGCTTGACTAGAAAATCCTAGGCTTTTCTAGGAAAAAAATATAAACATTAAACTAGAAAAAAATGTTTATTAACTGTATTGGCCAATTTTATTACACGTAATTGTATTTTTACTGTTAGATAATCTATACATTAAAGAAACTAGATTTTTTAAATATCTTTTCATGGCTTGAGTATGTACTTTTCTGCTGCTGTTATTTCAGAAGCAGAATCCTTTAGGGAAAAGGTTTAGCTCGTAGTAGGCATACTGGTGTTGTAGGATATAATCCAAATTTTCATATTCCGATGGCTCACGACAAGACAACAAAATGGAAGTACAAACATCTAATGTAGCCGGATCTATCAAATTAATTAACTGCAGTTTGATTGCACTGATAGAATATGATATGGTTCTATCTCCCAAAAAATGTTGTAAAATAACAAATTTGACGCGTTAATACTTGAAAGGTTTGGTTTACGACCAGCAATAGGAGTCAGTAGGCTGCCACCCGCAGCTTGCTTGTTCTTGTTTGGCGTATACGGGCTAGATCATATTTTTATTATAGCTTTCACAAAAAAGAGGTCAAAAACTAACTTGTAAACAAAATTGTTATGGAACTGAGACGCCTTCAATTTCCTGATTGTACAATATACATCACTGTAGATAATCCAGCAATCCAAAAATGTAGCCATTATCAAAAAAGTCTATCTCATTTTAACCAGACCAAAGAGAACAGGGGTGTTGATTATTTTGGGCAAGCGTCCATCTTAAATCGTGAACATTTTACAACTAAAAGTTAGTTGTCAATCGAGTTTTATTAAAATTTAATGATCCTATTATAAAATGCTTCTTTTTGACTAATTTCCACATTCGTATCCATCTATAAAAGACCATGAAACTATCGTGTCGGCGTGGTGTCAGCACGTGCGTAGATAAGACAGCAGAAATTATTGACGCCGCACATCGAGACAAGAATCTTGTCTTTTTTATTAGTTGCTGTTGCTAACCTTCTTATTATGCAGCGCGGTAAATGAAAGTTTACAAAATCACATTGTGGATATTTAATAGGACTGCTTTTCTAACGATTAAGAAAGATTTTTGTTTAAAAATCTTTCTTTCAAGGTTTCTGCATTCCAAATATTGAAAAATACCAAATCCAAAGTAATTTATCGTGTATAATCATTGACTTACAAATAAATGGACGACGGGTCTAATACAAAAATCACGAAAGAAAATGTCCCAAGTCAACCTATTTAAACGTAGTGACATGTAAAAGAATATGAAAAAGCTAAAACGTTGAATTTAAATTGTAATGTCATCGCAGTAAGCGTGAATGACGCTCTGTAGGTATACGATTTTAACACCCTATAAGTTCGGACACTTTTTAGCGCGGATTCGACGTCCATATAATTGTAAGTCAATGTGTGTAATGGTTTTCGTCCACGTTTATAGACAGAAATGGGATAAAACCGGACGCTTTGGGTAAAAATTTGGTTCCTAAACAATACATTACTCACTAAGGTCGACTTCAAATTAGACGCTTGTCCAAGCACTGCAGTGGCGTGGCAGCCGCGCTTCAGTATTTTTTATTTCACTTAGTCTGCTAACAGATTGTTTGCATGTTTGCAGTTAATTAAACTTCATGCAGCCGAAACCTCGACTGCATGAAGATAATAACAACTTCACGCATTAACTGCAACTGCATGCAGTCAATCCGTGAAGTCGTTACCCAAGACCTCGATTGCACGAAGTTAATGAAATTACAGGTACATGGGATTTATCAATTTATGTCTCAGGGTGACAGGCGGTGTCAGTGCCCGTCATATCTTTGCTGTTTAAAGATCTTAGTGGTACGGCAACTGTCATGGACAGGCATGTAGCTTACCATCAGGTGCACGACCTGTTCGACCTGTCACTTGACGTATTATAAAAAAAAAATTGGTAGTGACACAGCTGCAGCGTCACAGTGGCGCCACTACAGCGCATCGACAAGCATCTAATTTGAAGGCCTCGTTATTGCTTAATTTAATCTTGTTACGCGTAACGTACTGAATTCCAGTGAGAAATATTATTTGACATTGTAGGTCACGGGAGGTTCAACTTTTGGGCATTGATAGCCACTTCTCTGTTTCTGTGGTACTCAGCCATCGAAACTCTGTCAATGGCGTACGTCTTGACACCAATTGAATGCGATCTAGCCCTTTCCGTCGCTGAGAAAGGACTCATCAGCTCTGGCTGCTATATTGGTAATGAAAATTTTGTTTGCTTTTAATTTATTCAATCTTCTTCTTATCATGTCGATAGTATAGGTACTCTGTAATGCTTGCTATCGTGGTGAAAGGGTTGTACCAGACGTACTTACAGGAAAGGAGTGGTACGTTGTGCGGGGAGGATCTTACTTTTTTCAGAATTTAAATCGCGTAGGTATATTTGTTTTTTCTAACAAACGCCCGAACATCGAGTATAAAACCAGAAACAGTGACGAAATGTCATTTAATTTGTTTGAAAACTATTCTTCATTACTGTGACAGCTGTGCTCCTATTGTGGACTGGTGTCGTCAATTGTTTCTAATATATTCTCTTAATATATAAATTTTATTATTTGGATTACGAGTGGCAGCTCTGTTTTGCGGGGTCCTGGCAGAATAGCATCGTCGCGGGCAACCATGACCTTTATTTGGGTGGGAAAAGAAACTGCATAAAAAAATATTCAACTCAAGCGCTGCTGTTTTGTACGTTTTAACCTCCACTAGGTTCGCGGAGTACCCAATTAATATACTCCATTTTTATTATCCATTCATTTGCCTTTGAAAATTATGCAGGAAAGGAGGTGCAAGAACGAACCCTCTTCGCACGAAGTACCATTCGATTTCCTTAAGCCTTTCGCACCTGGGCAATAATCACTATGGCAAGCACTTTGTTGTATGCCATCGATACGATAAGAAGATTAGAAAAGAGGAACAAAGCGCACCCATGCGAATGACTGGCAAAACAATCATACTGTGTTTTTTTTCCCCAAGTGAAGGGAGGAGCAAGTCGTGCGTCTGGTGATAAGCTCAGGATTCAGAGCTTTGCAGAGGCAAATGCACTGCCCCTGCGCCCGTCACTCTGAGACATAACTTGACAAGTCCCATGTGCCTCTAATTTCACCAGCACTTGCCCTTCAAAACCGGAACGCAGTAATGCTCACATTTCTGTTTGGCGGCGGAAATAGGTAAGGTGATAGTACTTCCCTGGACGAACTCTTTCACAAGGAGCTCAAAAAAGAATGAGATTTTTTTTTTCAATTTTTCAATAGACGTTTCTATTTTTGTTATTATACAGGGTGTCTCTATGCTACTAGGCACAGCTATGTACTTTTTTCAATCAGCTTGTTATTAAATATCGTTAGAAAAATCTTGTTGATATTACCCGGGTGTGCAGCGCGACATAACTGTTGCGTAATGGATACATGGGACTTGTCAACTTATGTCTCAGGGTGACGGGTACAGTGGCAGTGCCCTTCTTTCTTCTTTGCGATTTAGGTTCAACTCACACTGGCGCAGAGTCGAAGCGTCGCGACGCGTCATGTTTTTCGCTTACAGCATATTCATCTTTATTTTCCCATTATTAAACGTCGACGCGCGTCGCCAGGTGTTGTAGTTGAAAAACAGCACGCGACACGACGCTTCGACTCTGTGCCAGTGTGAGTTGAGCCTTAAGGCTCAGATAAGCAACTGTTATGGGTAGATGTGTCGCATATCACCAGGCTCACGGCTCGTTAGTCCCGTTATTTGGTATCATATAATCTCAGTACAGAGTACTAAAAAAACCGACCTCAAAAGTACGTCGAATTACGTCTATTTGCTAAGTTTCATTGAAATATCCACTAGTTCGCCACTCTACAGGACTTGATACTGGAGATAATAAAAATAGGTTCTCACTACGACACTACTCAAAGTATATCGAGGGAAAAACGCCTTGAATTGGAGAAATAGCAAAATCAACTAAATAATTGCTAAAAGTAATTGCTCCTAAATTAAAGTTAGGCGCTATTTATAAAAATGAATCTTCATGCGTGTACAGCCACCCTTTGAGGTGGATGATTTTCTTCAAGATGAAATGGGACCACTATGGAAATACTGCCTTTCCAACAAAAAAAGAATCATGAAAATCGGTTCACAAATACCGAAGTTATCGCGTAACATACATACAAAAAAAAAACAAAAAAAGAACATACAGTCGAATTGAGAACCTCCTCCTTTTTTGAAGTCGGTTAAAAAGAAATGTTTGTGGGTGCAGAAAATCGCCAGTACCCCATATCTACATTATCATAGTCACCTGCTTGTATTGTTTTTTGCTTGTCCTGCTGATGGAAAGTAGTTACGTTAAATTTTAAAAAATCTGGTTCTTTAGTGAATGGTCGTCAACAATCTATTATTGTAAATTGGAGTACTAGACACGAGTCTCTGCTATAGTGACGGTGTCGGTCACAGTGGCACAATGCGAGTTGTAGACTCCAGACGTTTTCACGCCATGCAGGTTTCATAATTTTTATTAAACGCATTGTCCGGGTGAAGGACGCAGCGACAGAGCCTCTCAGATCGTTTGTCTAGAAAATACCTATTCACACTTGGTTTGAATAATTTTAAATTGGACTTTTCGGGAATCCCGTAGTATGATTCCCTACCTTTGACACACTTTTTAGGTGGAAGATATCCCCAAGTAATTTGTGTAGTACATTTGTAATTGGGATGACTTTATTCAAGATAGCCTACAACTTCTTGCAAAACACATTCAGGGATGGGTTTTTAGTTAAAGTACTTTGCACTTATAATGTTGGGCGTGATTAAGGAGACATTGTTATTCCTCAGTTTATTGTACTGGTTCTAGCGGATTAGGTACTCTATCAAGTCCACCAAAAGTTTCTGTTGAAATTCAGGTTCTCTTTTAATGTTGTTTTCACCATCTTACTGTAGCTTTTCTCAGGCCTGCTGTTCACGGGTTTATGCTGGGGCGGCATCACCGACAAATACGGCCGCAAGAAAGTGATAGTTCCCACCGTGATCTCCTGCTTGTTCTTCTCCTTCCTTTCTTCAATGAGCACAAATTTCTGGGCGATGTTCTTCTTTAGAGTTATTGTTGGTACTATGTAAGTTTATAGCACTTATATATTTACTATTAAAGTTGAAATTAATTATTATTATTAATCCGTCAGAAGCTGGCACTGTATATTGTTTGGTAAGTAGATATTACAAAATACATTCCAATTGGATTGTTTTGACGTGTTTATCGACACGCCCGTTGCCATCTCAGTCGCCATAGCGCTTGTCGACGTCAAGTCTGTGTCAAATTTTATTCGCCTGTTCTTATGTTATCGGTTGCGCATGCAGATTGCGGGTCGCGGGGGCGACCCCACCACACCTTACCTAGAATCATCAAATACCTCGCCTTACTCGCGAGTGTGTAAAGATTGAAGAGGCTGTCACGCGCTGCTGGCACCGCTTAAGCATGTCCTGTAAATTGTAATGTAGCCTCCGCAGCCTCCACACATCATTCAGAATACAAAATTTATAAAAAAAATATTTTAATATTGCTTTTTTTTTACTTATTTCTTTATTTTAGGAAGGTTTATAGCTATAAGTTAAAAATGGTGCATAATTACAAACCAATAAGTAATGCTGATCTTACTTACATTTTTATAGTTTAAAGCAGTCATAAAAATAAATGTCTCGTATATATTTCGATTATATTATACTTTTAAACTTTCGCGTTGCATTGTACTACTTGTTTTTCACACCTACTTTGTTTCCCGACGTTTCGGCCAGGTTGCACTGGCCGTGGTCACGGGCAGGTCAAAGACAAGGTAGGTGTGAAAAATACATATTCGTTTGTAAACGCATTTATTCCCGTTTCCAAATGTTAGTACATTTCGATTGACTATATATGTTACATATTGACAATACCCTTACATATATTGTATAAAATATAAAAGAAATTTGAGCATGCCTACAATTATTGTTGTCCAAAGTAATTCAAACCTACGGTTCGTCTAATGGTTTTTGGTTTGGTGGTGCTTGTTGCAACAGATCAAAGTCGTAGTCATTTTTGTGATCTTTTAAATGTTTATCGCACAAGAGACGTTTGGAAACTGGAGGTCTACTCTCTTTCTTGAAAACGAAATTTCGTTAACAAACGATATTTAGACTAAGTTTCGTCAACAACTTCACTCTAATTCTTTTTCGGTCGGGCCAAAGAATTTCGTTGTTATTGTTTACTTTAACTTAAAATTAATACAATTGTTTTGCTTTATTTTTTAATTTTAAGCATTTATTGTAATATTCATGCAGAAAATATGAAAAAACAAATAAAAATATAGTTTTGACGTAATTAGCCAAGACGCTGTCAAATACTCATTGTTATTTGATTTATTTGAAGAGTACCATTTCATGCAAATTATACGTAGCAAAAGTATGACAACCAAAAATTTCTGTATATTAGAAGCTATATTCTTTAAATTGTAAACTTTTAAATTTTACAAATAAATATGAAAATGAAGGCATTGGAAGCTCTTGGCGAGATTTCTCGTAATCATTATCTCCTACAAAACCAAAAATGTAATGCAGTAAACAGATTTTATTTAACTAAGATTTTATTTTTAGATTTTATTCACGCCTATGTAGCCTCTAGTTTGCGATATGGTCTGCTGCTTTGGGGGAACGCTGCTGCAACACATATTACACCACTGTTTAAAACCCAGAAGAAATGTGTCAGGGCCATGTTTGGTGTGGGCCAGCGAGAAAGCTGTGTACACTATTTTAGAAAACTAAAGATTTTAACCCTACCATCTAATGTGTATTTACGAGGCCTGTGTTTATATACAACAAAATCCAGGCAACTTTAATCTAGTGAAAACCAGACATCCCAGGAAAACAAGGAACAAAATAGAAATACGGCCAAAACAACGCCCCACCTTGGAATTTTACAATAGAACGATGTTTATATTGGCACCTAAATTATTTAATAAAATACCAGATGCAGTTAAAGAACTAAATTGTAGGCCATTTAAAATAAAATTACATAATTTGTTAGTTACACAATGCTACTACAATATAAATGATTTTTAATTGATAACATAAAATGTAAAATTTAACCACTGTGCGTGATTGAAATAAGAATTGTGTAAAATATTCGCATGCCAAGTTTTGGTGAAATGTACGATCTAATAATAATATACTATAACACCATTGTAAACTACATTTCTCAGCAAATAAATATCTTGTATTCTTGTATTCTTTAATCAAGTTGCACAATCTTTATTTCCTTGGGTAGAACTTTATTTTGTACATATTTTCCGACATTTGCACTAACACTCTTGTTCTTCGGCCAGCATGCAGAGCTTGTGCTGAAGAAACAGCTAATTCAGAGGCAACCTTTCAGCTTGGAGTTAATTTTCTCCCAACTCGAGAACAACAATCGTGAGCTCGTTTCCGTACATAATGTCTTTCTTTTGACACTACTCTTCAAATAGAAATGTGCAATGTGATATGCAATAATATATTGCCGATTGAGTCTGTGATTTCCTACAAACTATAAGTAGGGAATTTCATATTTATACGTAGTTGGTAGCCCTGGCGTGAAGGCGGCGACGACCAGATTTCCTACGCTCTGGAAAGTTCTACAGGCAGAGCCTCGATCAACGAAAGCATTGTTGCAGTTTTTTCAATAAAATTTTTTAACAAAATTCACATTTAAGAAAATCAAAAGGTAGCACTTTTAGTTTCATCAATTTTACATTATAATTCCGAAGAATTATCTGTCAAAATCATATTTTCGTTCGGATGTTCATGAATTAGAGTACCTAAGGTAACGAAAAACTAAACGTCTAACAATTTTCGTTCGCATTTCAAATTTCGCATTAAAATGGAAATGTGGTAAGAAAGATGCGAAAATTCGATCGAAATTTCGTTTTTCGTTGAAAAAGAGTAGACCTCCTGGTAAACGGGTCAAAATTAGACGAGCAGCACTTCTCGCTTAAGCGATTAAGCAGATAGCGACGACAGAACGAAAACAAAGTGAGAATGACGGGCAACGGAAGTAAAGAACGATTCAAAATTTGAAAATACGTGGCCAGGAACCAGAGGAAAGGTGATAAAAAGGCGGAACGACGATGGAAGGAGGTCGCATCGTCACAAGGTAGACGTAGGAAAGTCGCTGTGAGTAAGCGATTCAACTGATATCAGGACGGAGCGTTCGTTTATAAATATTTTTTTGTTAAAGGTTGTCAGCATCTTTTTCAACGGTGCTGGTGTACTTAGGCGAAGTGAATACTCGAGCTTATCGCGATAAAGCGGTGAGCTGGGCCATCACTATAAGCGTTACCCTCTTTATTGTTATTCCAGGTAAGTAAAACATCTAAATCGTATATTTACAATGATAATAATCAATTTTGTGTTGACACGGTCCGGACTTATAATACCTAGTAATGGGATGAACAAGTTGTGGTCTTGGTGGTGGTAAGCGACACGCCTGTCTATGTGACTGTGTACTGGCAACCGGTACTGTCTGAGTTTTCTAAAGGTTTCACTTTTTAATAACATTTTATACTATTTCGTACTCCATCTCAGATACATTTAATTTCTTCTAACTTCTAACCAGACGCTATATAAATGACGCAAACAATTATTTTCCTCCTCCTGTAAAATTCTGTAAAATTGTCAAAATTGAGATAGTAACGGTTGCCAGTTCATAGTCAATTATCAGAGCTTTAAATGATAAAGATGTGAGGAACACTCCCACAGACATTGGTTGACAAGTCCCATGTGACTGTAATTTCACCAGCGCCCTTTCGGAACCGGAACGCAGTAATGTCACATTATTGCTTGGCGGCAGAGATAGGTAAGGTGGTAGTACTTACCTGGTCGAACTCTCTTACGAGGAGCTCTATGCTACTAGAATGCTCAGATGCTATAAAATTTGGCAAACTACAGATTCCTAAATGTAAATTCATAATATCGATCGTAGTCATAAAATTATGAGTGTGTCTTGGAAATGAAACTAGTTTTTCGGACGTAAATCGTGTACATTTGTTTTTATTTTTTTCAAACAAACCAACATGTCGGACACTACAGGTCCCGTGATCTAATAACTGTAGTTGGTAAAGGCATCAAGTAGTTGGATATTGATAAGCATTTTTTTTACTTTTTTATTTGTTATTGTACCAATGGTTGTAATAAAAGACTGCTTATCTCTAATAAAAAATATATTTTCTATAAAACTTTGGTTGATATACAATTTTACATACTTACTATTAATATTAAACTTAATTTTACGATGATATTTTACTAAACAACGTACTAAAATGGCCCTAGAACAGGTCTCACAGACCGTGCGCGGATATATGTGGTACACTATTCGGTGTGGATATAGGAAGGTTAACGGTCAACAACTGAATAGGGTCACCTCTTCTAAATATTTTGGTTACTTAGTAATCGACGATCTGAGTGATGACGCGGATATTCAACTTATTAATATTTATGCGGAAGAAATTTGTGATTAAATTGTAAGCTGAAACGGATCCAAATAAGCATGTCACAACTCGACTGTAGTTTTCAGTTGAATCCGCTTAAAGGATAAGATGGCACGAAAGTACTGATGTGGGTTAAGATTACAATTATTACTTGAAATTTAACTGAAAATAAGTACACAAATTACTGACAATAGGATTTATTACATGAATCGGATGTATGAAATATTGTTAGAAATTTATACAGAAGAATTTAGAAAAGGCTGCCGTAAGAAATTTCTTCAATTTACTTTTCTATATTACACCTTAATAGTGTTATTGCTTTCTTCGTCCCTAGCACTGGCATGGGCTATTATTCCCGGCAGATGGACCATCAATATACACACGATGATTGTGAGACCATGGCGTGTCTTCATGTGGATGTGGTCTCTGATAGGCGGAATGGCTGTCTTGATTCTTATATTTCTGCCTGAAAGTCCACGATTTCTATACGCTGCTAAAGGGATTCGAGCTGCTTTGCCCGCCGTGGTTCAAATTTTTGCATGGAACAAAAAAAAGAAAAAAGAAGAATTCCCAGTAAGTTTTCAAATACATTTAAACTATTTAGTATTGTATAATTACAGCAGAGTGTCTCTGCAACCTAGTGCCAGAGCAATTAATTGCCAAGCCTTAGCGAACTGAAAATGTAGAAGACTCGGCTTACAAGGTTTATTGTAAAATAATGTTAAAATAGGAAAAGAAAAGGATGTCAATAAAATGATATATATAAAAGGTACAATAATTGTAAAGTACTACCCGTAAAAGTAACTAACAAAATACATAATACTTAGGTACCCGAAAAGGGTCTAGGCCTACCGCTTAACTGAGATGGTTCCTGAGGTAAGTGCGCGGTGCGGGAGGGGTGACAGTTTACGTAATAGTTATGTTGCGCTACACACGGGATAAATTCACCAAGATTTTTCTGACGATATTCAATAACAAATTGATAGAGAAAAGTCCATATCTATGCGTAGTATCATAGCTGTAGGACACCCTGTATAATAGAAAAAAAAAACTGTTTTGCTTTTTATGTAAATATAAAAAGCTTAACGTTTACATAAAAGTTTTAAGCAGTAGAGCTCCTTATGAAAGATTTCGTTCAGGGCAGTGCTGCCATCTTACCTATTTACGCCTCTAAGCGTTAATGTGAGCATTACTGCGTTCCGGTTAGGAAGAGTAAAATTACAAGCACATGGGATTTGTAGACTTATGTTTCAGGGTGACGGGCGCAGGGGCAGTGCCCCATTTAAAGCCCTGATTTCTAAACTTACCACCAGATGCACGTCTTGTTCGTCCCGTCACTCGGCAAAAAAACCACAGTGTGATTAGTTTGCCACTCATTCGCAAGGCTCTTCCTTCTTCCTTCTTTTTAATCTTCTTGTCGTATCGATGGCATACACCGTAGTACTTGTCAAAGGATTTGTCACTCGCTGAGTACGCCGATTATTGCCCAGGATACGTCAGGAGTATGGGAATGGAATGGTACTTCGTGCGAGAAGACTTCGTTCTTTCACCTTCTTTCCTGCATAATTAATATATATTAAAAAAAACGTAGAAAATGGCAGCGCTTCAGTTAAATATTATTTTATGCAGTTAATGTTCCCACCCAAATAAATGTCACGGTTGCCCGTGGCGATGGTATTCTGGCAGGACCCCGCAAAACAGGGACGCCACTTGGATTACGATCCAAATAATAAAATGTATCTTAGCGGCTGTTCCAAAAGAATTAAGTACTCTTTGATATCACAATCATTGGTGTGAATGAGAATGAATGAAATGCCGTCGTGCATAGCGTTTATGCGAGTGTATCCAATGCGGGAAGGAATATCCAATGCTAGGAAGTGGAGATTGCTGTGCGGAAAAATATTGAAAAATTATTGAAAACCAAGAAACTACCTAAGTCTGAAAATGTTTATGTATTCGAATAAAAATATTTGGTATTTTAAAAATTGTTACCGAGACTAAACCACGCATATTTTTTTAAACTGACTTTGTATCAAATCGCCCAAAAACTCATCTTCAAATCAAATTGCAAACGATTCTAGTCACTTGCAACATATAGGGTTAGTAGCAGTTTTATTCTGAAATGGCTGAAGTGTGCAAGTGTACGCAACTCGACGTGTTGCTAGAGTACGCGCGTAGTCTCAGACCATTTTTTAGAATAGTGTACTTCTGAATTAAATGTCTGTCGCTGTGACTCGTCCTAAATCAACCGAAGCCTTTTGCGGGAGTCTAGTATTTTTGAAGGTTTAACAGACCTGAGGCATGTGCTGCAAATCTGCCTGAAATATCGGCTGCAAGTGCGCCTGAAGCACCACCACCACTCTTAACTGAGGTATGTCCGTGCCACAAGTAGACTCTTCTCAGCTCTCCATGAGCAAAGGTCCATGCATACGGAGACAAAAAAATCACATTACTAGAAAGGTATGGTGGTGATCGTGAAACGGATAAACGAAGTCCTATAAAAAAAGGTGTTGCGTACTCTTACCGACGCACATGCGTACTCTTACCATAGTACAGTGTAAGAGTACGCAAATCCCATTTTGCACTTTTTTTATCAATTACAACCACATTATAACTATTTTTCACGTTTAGAGTCGGATTAATCTAAAAAATAATTATTTGATTTCCATTTTTACTAACATCGATGAACACAAAGTAACACTTGAAAACATTGACTTACAAATAAATGGACGACTGGTCTAATACAAAAACGTAGTGACATGTAAAGGAATATGAAAAAGCTAAAACGTTTAATTTAAATTGTAATGTCATCGCAGTACTGTCTAATTTTGCTTGCTTCGCTGTCAGTCGAACAAACGAAGACCAAAGCGTGAATGACGCTCTGTATACGATTTTAACGCCCTATAAGTTCGGACACTTTTTAGCGCGGACCCGACGTCCATATAATTGTAAGTCAATGCCTGAAAACTATTTATTACGGAATACAATTTTCCGAAAATTTCAGGGCTGTTCAAGGCTAGAAAGTGTAGGCATTTTTTTGACAATTGTGCATCATCTTCGGCCAAACGTATATGCTTTTGCTAAATAATAGCACTTTTTTATGATACCAAGTGATGGGACGAACGAGTCGTGCTGATGGTAAGCGACACGCCTGTCCAAAACAGTCCAATACAACTTGACAAATTTATGAAATAACTTAAAAAAAAGTCCCAAGTGCCTGTAATTCACCAGCACCCTTATCCTTCAAAACCGGAACGCAGTAATGCTCACATTACCACTTCGCTGTAGAAATAGGTAAAGTGGCAGTACTTCCTGGACGAATTCTCTCAAACGGAGCTCTACTGCTGCTTGTACTTTACAAGGTAAAACATTTCAGGTGATTACACTGGCAAGCACATCAACAACAATTTTAGATGTAAAAGAGAAGACCTTAAAGGAGACTGTGAATCATATGTCATTGCTGTTGCGGAAGCCCATGCTGATGCCTATGCTGATAACGCATTTCTGCATGTTTATTGTTCATCTCACGTTAGTTTATGGTATTTCAATTTCAACTTACCGGGAACTGTGGCGTTCAATTTTTGAAAGCGCGAAGGGAAAAGGAAGGATCTGGAAGGAACAAAAACTCCCACGATTGCCCCTACCCAATCAGATTCGAAAAGAGCGATTAATGTTTTCATGGTGTCGTCATCTCTGAGGTCCCGGGTTCGATCCCCGGCAGGGTCAGTGTAGAAAACTATTTTTTCCATATTGTCTCGGATCTGGGTGTTTGTGGTACCGTCGTTGTCTCCGATTTCCACAACACAAGTGCTTTAGCTACTTACTTTGGGATCAGAGCAACGTATGTGGGGTATAGGATTTTGTACGTTTGTTATTCTGCTAAAAGTTAAGAGTAGGCTTGTCTGTGATAAAAATTAAGGTATGCTAGCAATTTCTATTGCAGTTTTGGTAAAGTATATAAGTATATAAGTATAAGTATAAATATATAAGTATCCATCGTTAGTGATTGAAGGAATGAATGCTATCACTGCCATTCCACTGTCACTATTGAAACTCATCTGCCGTTGAAAGTAAATTTTAGCAGAATAACTAATACTATCATAATTTCAAAATAATCTAAATGGACAATGACCAATAATTTCAAGAAAATCAGCAGATTTGGGGCCTTGGTTGTCGATCACTACGACAACTCTTGTAAGCCCTTTTCATTACCGTCAGAATCCATCGCGTAACTGACTCGAATGATAATCACTAAAAATTTGGTTGCAGCAACTTCTGCAGCGCGCCTAACAGTGGCTAATTTGAACGCGCCCAAAGCCCGGGGCCGCACTGGGACAGCGACTCGAAAAAATAGGTGGCCGCATTGCAAAAGCGAAAAGCCATTAATGGGGCCACCCACTAAGCGACGTAGCACCGGGCAGGTTAGGTGATCAGGGGCAGCCGCGCTGACGCCGCACTCGTATAGTTGAACGACAAAATCAAACTATTTTGTTTACGTCGTGTGGTGTCTCCTTAGCAACCTTCGCTCGAATATGTCGAGCTCTTTTGCACGAACGCCGCGAGGCAGTGCGGCCGCTCAGGTACATCACCGCATATTTTGTCGCAAATCGTGGCAAATCGCCGTGTCACACCGCTGCTTGTCGTATGAAATTCAAGTATCGTCGCGGGTTGCTGAATAATGTTATTTAATGCGGACACCCTCATTACTTGTAGAACATTCAAAGTTTCTTTACGATATGATCAAATAAATTCGCTTGTCGTTTCTGCAGTGCGGCCACTGACATCATATGTTTATATGAGTTTGTTTTCATGAAATCGCTGTCACGTCGCAGTCGCCTTAGTAGTGCGGCCGCGGCCTTAAAGTAGGCATCCTTTGGAATTGTCCGAGTCACAATTGCTTATTTTTCCAGTGTATTTGGTCTTTATATGTGGTTGCCGGATATTTTCTACGCAACAATGCAACATCTCGATCTCAAAATATCCATGTGCGACATTATCGTTATTAAATATGGTGACAAAGGACTGAAGAATGCGACGCGAGTGTCGGTAAATATTTTTGTAATTACCTCTGCCTACTGTTTAGTTTTATATCTGTTATTAAATAGAAACCGTTTTTCGGTGCATGATCTATGGACTGTTGTTTATAGATTTGAAAAAGATTACAAATCGAAATATAGTGAAGAAAAACTTTTGTAGATTTCTTATACATGGCGTTACGGCAAAAAGCCGTTAAAACCAAAAACACAGTGCAATAGGAATTAGGGAGAAATTCGTAACGTTAGCTGACTCGTTCCGTAGCTCAGCTGGGAGATCGTCAGCCACGGTATGGCGAAGTCGCTGGTTCGAGTCTAGCCAGTGGAGTATCATCATGGTATTCAGTGAAATAAAAATTGAAATATTTTAATTATTTTAGTGCGTTATGATTTTGAAAGGTTTCCGGTGAAACTATAGGCACTTTGGACTTATCAACTTTATCTCTCAGGATGACGGGCGTAGTGGCTTTGCTTCTCAAATCTTTGCAATTGTCGTTTACCACCAGGTGCATAGAACGGACTTATTCGCATCAGTCTTAATTTCTTTCCTCTTCTAGATGTTTTCCGGTGGCGGTGACACTGGAGAAACCTGTGCAGGTTTATCAAGTGACATGTACCCTGTGTCTATGTTGGCAGAGTTTGTTTTCATGCTACCATATTTCGGACTATCTCTCTTAATCCATCGCATTAACAAGATACACATTTACTGTAAGTACTATACTAGCTTTTATTTTTGTGGGGAAATCCTCCTAGGATTTAATAGGTTAGGCATCCTAAGTTATTCTACCTGATTTCTTCCGGCTGAAACCCCACGGCGGCCTTCTCGGTGCTCTAATGGGAGGGATCCGGGATCGAGTTTGCGTATCTGAACCCCCTGCCTTATGGGTCTCTTGATCCGCCAGCATAGCCGCTAAGGTATTATTCTGTCTTAACCACCAAATAATGATTTACCTTGTGTAAGACTACTTAAATAAGAATTTTCATCTAAATTCATTCAGCCATTTTGAGGTGATTATGTAGCTATAAGAGCGATGCCACACGATGAGTCGCTTCCGTGTTGACGAGGGCTGCGCGACTCGTGTGACTTTCGGTGCTTTAAAATCATAACGTTTTCTATCGAGTTACAACTGATTTCTAAACGACAATTCAATTCTGTCCATTCGAAGGAAGGGCGGTTCTCACTAACGAGGGATGAGAGATTGTTGTCAACGTTGCGCGGTTAGAGTGGAAAACCGATTGTTGGTTCAAAATATCGAGTATATAACTAGAAATAGAGACGAAATAAGGGCCTTATCCCTGGCAACTCATCAGGTAAATGGGCCTTACATCACTTTTAAATATCAACTCTCATTTACACTGAAGTCACAAATTTAGAAAACTGAAATAGTACATCGCCAACAACTGACCTGCGTGTACGTCTTCGTATATTCCAAAAATATTCTGTATTTATTGTAATAAAGGTAATATCTCTAACAATGGGGACTGTTCTATTCGGTGGTGTGGGAAAAACAGCAAAATATCTAATTACACAACAAACCGTATCACATTTCATCGGTAATTAAATATTAAAAATGTAATTTTGCTACTTTCGTCCATTATAGCAAAGCTCAAGTTAAGCTGGTCGTTTTGAACTGAAACAATTGACGACGAATTGTTTTCGAATTCGGACTGGCCTATCGGAGCGCAGTTGTCACAGTAATGATTTGGCGGAATAGTTTTCAAACAAATTAAAAGACACTTTGTCTCTATTTCTGGGTATATACTAGATGATCCAAAATAATCCTTATTGTTTCGTACCGTTTGTAGTTATAATTAGGTCTAATTAATAAATTGGGCATCGAATACGTTATTCCGCCTTTATTTCCAAAATCTCCTCGACTGATAAACCATGCAAGATATGTATGACACGGATACTGAGCCATCTTGTTTATTATGGCGCAATTCTTGTAAGGCATATATATACCTTTCTTTTTGCCTTCTCAGCTGTCACATTGGGTGTGTCCCAGGTTTTATTTGTAATGTCGGCGTTTATACGACAACCAATCGTAGCAATGATTTTGATAATCTTCGGCACTGCCTCCGCGGTGCCGGCTATCCTCACTGCCATGGCCGATGAGGTGTTCCCAACCACTTTGAGGTATGTTATAAATAAAATAATCCTAATTTAATACTTTCACTATACAGGTTGTGACAGGAAAACTAAGAAACACCATGTATTTCTTTTTTATTTGTAAATAGCGTGGTGTAAACTTAAAAATATTCTATAGAATAAATTACATACCGTCAGTTAAATTTGTAAGCCTCGTAACCTTCTTTAATGTAAATTTTTGAATAGGCACGAAAAACAGAATTACTAGAAATATGACTATCTATGAACATACATTTATTTCATAACTAAAAAAGGGTCTAGAAATTATGGTTTAATCTTTAATCTTGAAGAATAAAAAATGGATTTCGTCCATAAACGGCATTACGTAGTTATCAAATTTCATTTTTATATAGGAACCATCGTGCAATTTCTCTATATATAAGTCGCGTGCACATAATCTGTACCTGTGGTGTATTATAGCCACATGTAATTGTCAGAAATGCTTAAATCCATGAAAGTAAAAAAAAAAACGAACTATATGAAACAATTTATGTAACGCGAGATTTTATATCTCCTATACGAGTAGTATGTCACCTTTGTCAGATACTAGAGCTAACTTTTGTTAAGTTATTCAATAAATACAGTCAATGATGTTAATTAAACAGACATTTACTTACTTAGAGATACTATGTTCCACACAAGAGGAAGAGCGAGAGAGCACCATTGCTTTCCGTAACTACCCACTATTTAGGACCAGCACAAACTGGCAAACAGGAGGGTCGAGCACATTGACTTACAATTATATGGACGTCGGGTCCGCGCTAAAAAGTGTCCGAACTTATGGGGCGTTAAAATCGTATACAGAGCGTCATTCACGCTTTAGTCTTCGTTTGTTCGACTGACAGCGAAGCAAGCAAAATTAGACAGTACTGCGATGACATTACAATTTAAATTCAACGTTTTAGCTTTTTTATATTCCTTTACATGTCACTACGTTTAAATAGGTTGACTTGGGACATTTTTTTCGTGGTTTTTATATTAGACCCGTCGTCCATTTATTTGTAATTCAATGGTCGAGAATAATTAAATTTATCAATGTATACATTGTTTATATTAACATTTTGAATAATGATCAAAGCATTTGTCAACGGTAACAATAAGTACTTCTTATCAAAGATGAAGCGCGAAGAAAAACATTGCGATGAAATCTGCATATCGCAGAAGGCTTGGCATGTGTTTGTTTTTTAGAGTATTTATCTTTTCAGGGCCACAGCGATGTGCACTATGTTTATGGCTGGAGAGATTGGAACGATTTTGGGGGCAAATCTCATGCCGCTATGCGCCTTGAGTGTTCAGTGGTGTTGGGGACTCTTCATTTGCGTAGCTATTGCTAATTTAGGTGAGAATGTAAATTACGACTTAATTCTTCTTTTTTATGACATCATCTGACGAATGAGTCTAGCCCAATGGTAAGCGACACGCCTATTCATAACAGTTCCTGTGTCATTCAGAATTATAAATCGCAAAGGTCTGAGGGACACTGCCACTGCGCCCATTACCATGGGATATAAAGTCGACAAGTCCCATGTGCCAATGGCTACACAAATACCTTGACCTTCAAAATTGGAACGCAGTATGTATATATAGAAATACGTGCGGTGGCAGTACTTTCCTCGAAATTTTTTCACAAAGAACTCTGCGCTACTAGATAATTTGGACAGAAAGATATGTGCACCACATTCGGGATTCACAGCAGTGAATTTAAGCAGAGATGGATGTGAAATAGCGGGATCGTCAAATGATCGCACATATTGATTCGAAGTCACCATCTGTAACCTACCGACTCGTCGAGATCAATTTGGTGAGCCCAAACACAGAACAGAAAATTTCTTCCGTGAGCTCAAACACTGTAATTCTGCTGTAAGTTGATGAAGAATCTGACGAGAATAACGTCACAAAAAACTGCTCTTTGTGCTTATCACGCCTATGTAGCCTCTAGTTTGCGATATGGTCTGCTGCTTTGGGGGAACGCTGCTGCAACACATATTACACCACTGTTTAAAACCCAGAAGAAATGTGTCAGGGCCATGTTTGGTGTGGGCCAGCGAGAAAGCTGTGTACCCTATTTTAGAAAACTAAAGATTTTAACCCTACCATCTATGTATATTTACGAGGCCTGTGTTTATATAAAACAAAATCCAGGCAACTTTAATCTAGTGAAAACCAGACATCCCAGGAAAGCAAGGAACAAAATAGAAATACGGCCAAAACAACGCCCCACCTTGGAATTTTACAATAGAACGATGTTTATATTGGCACCTAAATTATTTAATAAAATACCAGATGCAGTTAAAGAACTAAATTGTAGGCAATTTAAAATAAAATTACATAATTTGTTAGTTACACAATGCTACTACAATATAAATGATTTTTTAATTGATAACATAAAATGTAAAATTTAACCACTGTGCGTGATTGAAATAAGAATTGTGTAAAATATTCGCATGCCAAGTTTTAGTGAAATGTACGATCTAATAATAATATACTATAACACCATTGTAAACTACATTTTTCAGCGAATAAATATCTTGTATTCTTGTATTCTTGAAGTTTTAGTAGCAGTAGCATCAGGTCCTTGTGAAAGGTTTCATCTAAGGAATTATTGCTGACATGTCTATTTCTGCCGCCAAATGTCTATTTCTTTTAGATTTGAAGCTCTGAACGATACTGCAACCATTATTAACAGCCTTGAAGGTTTTTTTTATAAAGTTTACCACCAGGTCTGAGACTTGTTCGTCCTGTCACTTGGTGTCTTATAGTGGAAGTAAATTAAAAAAAGATATCATGACCGAGAGCCCCACTCTAACTTAAAAACAGATGATGGTCTTGAAACAGCTGAACCGATGTCCATTAAACATAACTACGCATTACACGATTAAATTAATCTTCAAATGAAAAAAAAAATCGTTTTAAAATCAGTGTAGCCGTTTTAATCTACAAAGACACAGATAGACACAAAGATGTACCAGAAAAAGGCTTCAAATTTACTAAAAGCGTCCAGGATTAAAAAAGTATTTTGTAAACAGGATATAAAAACTTTGGCATGATGAATTTATTTCGATGCCGTAAAATTATATAAAAAATAGATTGTATCAAGTACACTCTTGATTAAGATCTCATAATATTTCTTATTTTTCAGCATCGTGCGTTTGGATTGAAGTAGGCTGGCCTAACGTTGAGCAAGTAAGAGCTATTATGGAAGAAAGGGGCTTCCCGTATTAGTACATTTTATTAAGTTTAATTTTGTTTATGTTATTTATATTTGTACTGTTATCTTTGCGTTTCTATAGTCGCATTAGAATACAATGTTTTACATTATTTTCCGTTTAATTTATCCCAGAACTCTAAAATGCGGTGTTTAATAATAAAAATACGACATGCTGTAACGTCATTACTGACGTATTAAAATTTATTTTCGTATGCTTTGTTTTTTATTTACCAGATAAATTATCACAGATTATGCATATTTGATCATTTTCTTGAATCTAATCTTTACGTAAATTGTTTTGCCGAGTGTTGCTTTTGAATTGAGGGATCTCTGTTACGATAACACCTATCTCTTACTCCTTAAAATGTATGAAGTTTCCAACCCGTACTTGGCCAGTGTGGCTAACTGTGGCCTAAATCCTTATAGACCCTTGCCTAGCAGTGAAACGTATAGTTAGTTGATGATGGTGTGATTTCACTGGATCTGAATATTTTTCAATCAATCTCCTCCCCTTAGGAAGCTACAATGCCACACCGAGACACAGGCTTCAAACATACAACTCATCTATTTTTGCGTCAGGGATTAAAAAAGTATTTTGAAAACAGGATATAAAAAGGAAGACATTATTGCAGCTTTGGCTTTATTCCAATGCCGCTAAATTAATTTAAAAAAAAGATTGTACTGGGTTTTGGCTGCAGCTACTACCTAGGCTGGTTTTTTAAATCCTGCTAACTCTTTAAATAAGGTATTTAAAGCTTAACGGTCCCCTACTCGACAATAACGGCATGCCATCGGTTGTGCTAATTAAAATATTTCAACATTAGGGTGATCGCATTGACATTACGGACTGACCCTCGTTGCTACTCCACCCCAGTTAGTGTCCTATTTTGTTAGCCAGTTTATCAAAGTATGGCTTTGGTTGGGGTTAAAATGTAGCCAAAACGATAAATTTCAAGGTTTTTTTGGCCTAGATGCAACGCATGCAATGTATTTACCCATATCATCCCTTACAACATTAATGGACGTATAATGTAAGAAAAGGTACACTACGAGATAGAACTTAATCAAATCTGAAAAGAAATACATAAATGGTGCTAGGTAATTTAAAAAAAAAAATTGAAAAGGAAATGTTTCAAAATATTTTTGAGATGAAAATGTAAGATTTGAGATAAAATGTAAGAGAAAAATTGTCTCTAATATTTTTTCCATAATTATATTGTCTTTTTTCCATTACAATTGTAAGCCTTGTCCAATCATCGCAAAGGACCATATTATCCATATGTCAGGTTTTTCAGTTAAAATAACCCTCAGCCTTAGGCTCCTAACAACGTAAGAAACCATCAAAATTTTTCCGACTTGCGACGCGATTTAAGTAAATCCAGAAACCATCTTCTAGATGCTCCAGCACATGCTTATTGCAATCGATAACTTGCCTGTCAAAGCCAACAGCTTTCAGTACCCATGACTCCATCTATACTTAAAAAGAGTCAATCATAGTCATCAGTCAGGTTTTCCCAGTCACACTGTTTTGCCTTCCTGCAATCTCATAAGTCTTTTCTTCTTGTTCCAGAAAGATTATCTTCTCGAACAAAAGTTAACACTAGCTCCACTATTCCAGAATTAATTATCTTGTCTACACCAAGAATAGTCTGGAACAATTCTTTCAGAATCTCTTGACGCTATCAGCATTTATGTTTTAATGCGCACGCCGCAGACGTGTCCACTAGTCTAAGTTTGTCTATTCCCCTTTATTTTCCTGTGGATCTATGAATTGTCCAGGTTATACTTGGATCAAATTTTTGGGGATGTATGCCAAACTTGCTCAGGGATTTTTCCATTCCACACTTTCTTGATTTTCTTTCTGCAGTCTCAAAACTCTTGTCGTCATATTCCATTGATCACTTCTCCCGTTTATATACAAAGTGGAGTATTGGTTTGCGCATAGCTGGGGGTAGTATCATGCGTTCTTTAATATTGGGAAACTTTCGAATGATATTGTAATAGTCACTCCTGTTCAACCCCTCTACATAAGCCGATGTTTATCGGGGACAATTTGTTTGACCTTGGTGCTTGACTGTTGACTTCGAGTCAGCGCTATTTTGGGTAACATCGTTAGGGGAAGTTGCGAAAGATCTGAATATTTTCAGTTTACCTATGTCTATTTTACACAGGAACACAAGAAGACTTATCTACTGCTCGCTAGCTCACTCAGTCTTTTAATCCAGAAGACAGCAGTGCTGCTTTTAGGTAACAAACAGGCAAGGCGCTGGTACACTACGTAGGCGGTTTTATGCCTACGCAAAGAATCCAACCTTCAGCAACGAAAAATATTTATATTCTGTACACATCAATAATAATGGGTGATTCATTTGGAGGTAGTTTTTTCAAAACTAAAAAATGTAATATAAACAAATTTATCGGGTTATCTTTATTATCATGTAAAAAACCATTCTTGACATTTATTTTTTAAAGATGTATTTCTTTCAAATATTGGCCGTAACTGCGATAACCGTGGTCCGTTCTGCAGTTCCAATTTTCGATGACGCGTCCGAGAAATTAACTGTTCACCAAATTGTTCAGGCAATACCGACCGGATTTCTTCAAAAACGAGGACCAGTGAGTTGGCCGCCTAAATATCAAACACGGGTAGTATTTTTTCATACGCGTGCAGTTCATGACAAGAGTATCGCGTTTTATTAACCTATGAAGTAAATGATTTTTTGACCTTGACTTTGTCAGGAAGCGGTAATTATTTTTTTCCATCCTCTAAGGGTAAATACAATAATTTTAAACTGTGGTAGACGACATTTAGAGAAGCTGCCTGTCAACGTAGAGAATTTTTGGAGCTTGTAAAAAAGAAACTACACTATGAACAAAACAATCGAGAGGAAATAGCAGACATAGATGTTTTTTTTATACACGTTCTTAACAAAAGGATCGCGTTCTAAATTACTTATTAGAAAAACGTTGGATTTGAGCACGTGTGTGCAGGCGCTCAGGTGCCGTGACACGTGGTAACGGTCCAACCATATGCCACGGGTTCGATTCCGGGCTATTTTGACTGACTCAGTTGGTCGGAAACTGAGGGCAAAAGGCATTTTAGATATGAAACCTCATCATGTCGCGAAATTTTAAAGATTTTTTACGGGCTACGTGAGGTCACATGAGCTATGTTTGACACGGCTATGGGACACGAAGGGAAAGTACTTTAAATATTGAAGATATGATATTTTGCTTTCCTTGATTATTTTATGTTTAAAAGAAATAAAGAATCAAATTGAATTCGTCAAATTACAAAAAAAAAATTATTTCATGGGTTAGCAAATTACACTTGAAATTGTCATATTGATTAAACTCTACCGCTCATTGGTAAGGCAGAATCCCTTGAGAAGCATGAGCATGAACCTCCAGGGGTTGCTCTTTGTGTCATTTACCACATTTATTTCAAACATACTAGTTTGAGAATACCTGCAGGAGCTGAACGCGCTACCACGGATATTTGTCATTCACGTATGCAGAAACTGTTTTTTATCTTTAGCATAAAGTTATTGCTTCACTGGTTGTAAGAAATCAAGTAGTCCAAAAAGTCCATTCTTACCATTGACTTACAATTATATGGACGTCGGGTCCGCGCTAAAAAGTGTCCGCACTTGTAAGGCGCTAAAATCGTATACAGAGCGCCAAACTCCGCTTTAGTCTTCATTTGTTCGACTGACAGCGCGATACTGCGATGACATTACAATTTAAATTTCGAATAGGTTGACTTGGGACATTTTTTTCGTGGTTTTTGTATTAGACCCGTCGTCCATTTATTTGTAAGTCAATGATTCTTACAAATACTTTGGTTGCATCGTAAACGACCAATGTGATCATAGCGTGGAGATCAAACGTCGGATAAAACAAGTGCGTAACACATTTGTATAGTTGAGCCATCTACTCTACAATCGATCCTTGAAGATCTCTACATGTTTTCGATTCTTCTGTATGGCGTACAATGGCCTTAACTCAAAATATGAGCGACCGCTTAGAAGCCTTCATTATAATATCACATCATTGGACACTTCCAATTAAACAATATTGCAGATGCTGAATAACAAATTAGATGTCTTGAGTACTGTCAAAAAACAGATAAACGGAAACGGATGCCACTGTATCCGTCCACAATATTTTCAAAATTCTTCTGTGTACCCACATTTGGAATATCCTCTTTAAATGCACACTTCCAGTGAAAGAGTGTTGTCAATAAGAAATTGGATATCTTAAGTACTGTCAAAAAACACAGGCTACAGTACGTTGGTCATTATAGTCCCACCCATTTCTGTAGTAGGGACATGAGTACTATCAAAATCCTACTGGACGCACTAATGCAACCAAGAGTAGAACCAACAGTCCGAAAGGCTAAATACGACCTGCTCCGACAAGAAAAAATCCAGGGATGGAAGAAGGCGTACTGCGTGATTTTTCTCCGGACGTGGTTCAACGGGCCACCTTGGATTCAATTGACAACCGTGCCGAGAAACTTATAGGTGACTCGGAATTGGTCGAGAAGCTGCAGAGCCTTGAACACCGCTGTAAAGTTGCCTGCGTATCGGTATTCTACAGGATATATCACGGAGAGTGGGCGATGGAATTATACGATTTAATTCCGCCTTTCCCTTTCATTTGCATTTGCATAGCTATATATAGGCATTGCTATGCTTAAAAGGAGATTTCTGTCACTATTATTGTAAATCTAAAGTAGGAAAGAAATAAATTTAGAACACTAAGAAAAAAATCCTTCAAAAGCCCTCTTCTAGCATACCGTGACGGACACTATATTGGTATAATGCCATGTAAGCCATGTAATTGTTTTTAAAAATCGTTATTAAAAACACTCTCTGATTACTGTTCGATATTTTAATAAAAACCAATTACAAAACACTTTTTAGTTGGTAATTGTATTACAAATACAAAATACGTATTTCAGTTACAAGTAATTCATATATTGTACGATGGCCTAGTGCGAGTTGGAGAT